AGCTATTACTGCTGCTCAGTTAATGAAAACCTGAGCAAAGAGGATGCACTGTAAGTAGCAGCCACAAGTTGCTGGTGTGACTCAGCACATTACTCTGCTTTTATTTATTTATTTTTTCTTGCTATTCCTTCTCTAACATGGGGATACTTGGCCCATGCTTCTCTGAGTGGTCTCGCCGAAGAATGCCAGAGGAGCCCTAAGACTTTTTATTATAACTGGCTGTGGGAAGGTGACTGAAGCAGGCTTAAGCTCTGATCTGGCCAAAACACTTAAATGCACACTTAGCTTTGAATATCCAACTAATCCTGCTGATGTTAATAAGATGTCTTGCAAGCTTGAAAGCTTCACTGATTTGGAATTTGGTAAGTTCAACTGCTAGATAAATGTAGTTTTGGAGGAAGCTGCAAGGACTAGGAGTGTGGATTCTCCTAATTAAAAGTGTCTTTTTGCTGCTCCATGAAAGCCCTTTACTCTCATCTTGTGTTCTTCTAATCTGCAAACTTCATCTGAGAAGCAACTTTCAAAGAACAGTTTTATCTCAGGTGTAAAATGAAAAAAGTCCCACATCATTTATTTGTGTCCTCTTTGTTTTCCCTCTCATAAACTATACAGTGTCCCTGCAGTTAAAGGTGGAGTGTCTCTGGGAAACAGTGTGAAAACTTTAAGAACAGGTTATAGCAGCAACCTAATTTGCAGGGAGATCCCCTGAGATGGTATTCATCTAAACTCCATCCACGGTACAGGCTTCAAAGGTCTGCAGCTGGGCTGTACTGAGCTGGCAGGGAGTCTGCTCTCTGGTGGACAATCACAAGGCACTAAGTGAAGCACAGGCATAAGCTGGTGCTGGATCAGGGCCTAGATAAAGGAATGGAAAGGCTGACAGGTGTCCAAAAAAGTTCAAAGGGTATTCATCCAGCAATCACAAAGTCTCAGTTAATCCAAAGAGCTGATTGATGGGACTCTTCTTGCTTTTTAATATTCATTTGCAGGTGTGCAGGTTGTTTCGTGACATGAATAAAAATACTAATAATTCACTGCCCTAGCAAGCTCACAGAGTTGGGGATAGTGACCCAAAACAGCCAGACCCTCCTCACTGTGAGGAATATGAGTTAAGGCAAGGCTTAGGGAGTGTGCAGGAGGGAGGTGAGAGCTCAAGGAGGCAAGGGCAGGGAATAGGTAGAGCGATGTTGCTGTGTTAAGGGTGGCAAGGAGGCTTATTGTCTATTCTGAGATTATTCAAGAGACTTCTTGGCCATTTAAACACTGATTTGATTGTTTTGCATTTATGTTCTGTACTCATGAAGCCAGAGCACAGCCAAGCTGTGCTGCTGGCTCTGGTATTTACCCCCTTCCTGCAGTCCATTTCCACCATAACAGCATTGCAGAGGAGGGAATGAGGAGATGGCCATTTCTCCCACTTCAGTTTGCTTTGAATTGCAACCTACACAGGACCCCAATTTCATACTCCTTTTCACCAGTTTCAATCAAGAACAACTGTACTGGAGTCAGCAAAGCTGCAAAAGGTACAAGAAGAGGGAATCGGGATCATTGTGATTGCTGTGGTTTGTAATAAACGCCAGTACCTCTCTGAAGGAACCTGCCATGGAGCGAGATGAATGTACCCTGTTTGCACAGGAACAGCAGGATCCTGGTCTCTGAAGGAACTGCTCCTGGGCAGCTGGTGATAAATGAGCTCTGATCAGTGTGCTGGCTGTGGAGGCAGTGGGGTTTTTGTTACAGCACATCCAACAGCAATTTGGTTAGAATTTCTGGAAGAGTGAACTACCCCTGTTTTTTCCTTGGTAACAAAATGGAAAGAAAAGGTAAAAAAGCAGCAAAGGCAGGGAACAGGGGCAAGGCAAATCTCCTTGCCCACCCTAACAATCCCAATCAGAAAGCTGGAAAGCGAAAACAGAAATAACCAAAACAGCAACAAACAATGACGCTAAAAATATAGCAAAGATTTCTTTATGAGATTCGTTATTCTTTGTGTGTGTGTCAGTGTGTGGGTATCATCTGACTGTGTTCGCTCCTCTTTCCGGATGCTGCCGAGGTAGCCCATGCTGGGGTGTTCTCACTAGTGCAGGAGGCATGAACAGTTTGATGAACACAACTCAATTTCCAGAAGCCTTTGCGTGGGTGTCCTGATGGCAGCTTGTTGGATGGAGGGGGTGAATGTTGCTGCAAAAGTGGGATCTGTACTCAGGCTTATTTATTTAGGCTGTAGGCGACTGAACAAGAGGTAGGTCTTTTCTTCTAAATGTGCACCCAGTGCCCTCAGCAAAATTGCATTTTTATCCTTTCTGCCACAATATTGAGTGATACCCTCACACTACAGGTTTTCAGTTTTCTGTTTGTCCTTTGTCATTTTATTTCCGTGCTCTGCTTTAAAGAGGAGACCTTACTGACTGCCCTGTCTTTCTTCTGCTGAGTAATTCCAGCAGGTGTCTGACAAAGATACTTCTAGAGAGCAGCTATTTAGCTTTTGCAATGCCAAAAGGCATTTAGCAAAGGTATGTTTTAGCTCCTCTACTAAAGCCTGCAAATTTTTCTGCAAAACACTGACCAGCAGGATGGCTGTGGCTCTACACACAGACATTTCACTGCTGGCACAGTCAGCGAATTGGGTTTCAAGTAGCTTCTGATCTGGCTGGGGACTGATCTTATTTATTTATTCACAGATATGATAGACGTTGCTACTGGACTTGAAGGCGATGCCTTGTGCACAGTTGGGTGGGTTTATTTTCAGTCTCATGGATGTATGGAGACACATTTCAAATGTCCTACTTGTAGGGTATTGAATGAATGAAATGACAGTTAAAAAATACCAGTAAGAAAGCTGTGGTTAATGACAAAGAGTGGAAGAAAATGTCAACTATATATAGAAACAAGTAAGACTTAGATTTTTTTTTCTTTTGTTTTCTGGTTTCATGGTCCTTCATTAAGACCTAATATTAGAGCTCACGGGAAAACCCTCTTATGTATATTTAAAGATTTAATTGGTGATGACTTTGTGTATCAAGCAGGAGATATGGATTTGTGACAATTGGATATTGTGGCTGGTAACTTTGAAACCAAAATGAGTGCAGTTTCTGAACTGTGGTTGGCAGGTGTTGATGGCTTACACTATAATTTACTGTACTGGGTTTACAAGAGGCCAGCGAGGAGACTGCCCAGCTGTGTGTAGTCCTGGCACACCTGGTTTCTTTTGAGCAAGACAGCGAGGTTGTTATTTGTTCACGTCAGCACTAACTTGGATGAGCTTGTCCTGATTGGAGGGGGAACTTTGTTTCATTTGGTCCAAAGCGTGCTGCATTTTAGAGCATGGTAGAAGTCAGTTCATTAGTAGGGTATTAGTAGTGTTAGGTTTCATCCCAAACCTGCTGAAGAAAGCTTGTCCATGTGTCACATACCAACATCTGTGTCGTGTCATCAGAAATCCCAGGTTCCAAAATGCTAACATGAATACGTTTAAGTGTTTTTTTATCTTGTTCTTCCGAAGTCTTAATGTTGCAAATACTACTGTAATAAATGTTATTGAGAGGGATTCACTGAAGGATGTAAATATTCATCAGTCTTTAATGATTTGCATTTGAATCCAGAAAATTGGCTTATGACTCCATGCTGATTTTCTCTCACTCTGATTTTCACATGGCATTAAGTGCAGGAGAATTAAATACTTAGGGTTTTCTCTGCTCCAAGCCAGACTTTACTGTCTTCATTTGGATATAAATTCTTCATTAGCCAATAACTCAATCTTGTACATCACTTTATAATCTTCCTACAAACCTTCAAAACTTTGTTTCTAACAAAGATCTTTAGGATCAGTCTTGCCACACCCATATGAACTCCTGGAGTATTTTATTTTCACCTTGGCAAAGCTGACAAATGCATAGTCTTGCAGTTCAGAATGGGAGGCCAAAAAGTGGAAGCGTTGGCCCTGGGATGGAGATTTTCAATGTGCTTTCTGTTCTTTTGTGCTTAACCTCTCTGAACCTTGAAAGTCACACCAAATGGTTGTATGTCTTGTGGACGTCAGCTGATTTGGGAACCACAGCCACAACCCCAACTCTCCAGGGATGAGCTCCAGCTCATTGCCAGTGCTGAGGACAAGGCCATTTTGCCTTCTCTGCCATTTCACAGCTAGATTTAGACAGGGCAGCTATACTAGCATGCTCTCACACTGTTTACCTGCATAGGCTCATGGATGGGTAGTCCTTTAGGATTCTCATGTATAATGGGATGGACACGCTCACACCTCAGAAGGGATATTAGTTTCAGAACACATTCCTTTTGCTAGTCCCATCTGAGAGTTGGTATTAAGTGTTATATTTTCCATGCTTATGGTGGGTGGGTTTTACCCAAAATAGTTTACATATATATTCAATGCAGATTGAAAATGTATTTTTGGTAATTTGTCCAAACCCTTTAAAAGCCACTCACAGGCTTTTCCATTGGTGTAAGCTGCCTCATTTTTATAAGATTAGTAGGAGCTGGATTAGTTAGAAAATGGCACCGAGATCTCCTGAGAAAAACCCAAGGTAATAGTATGAGATTAATATTAATAAACTGGAGCCTGAATAAATGAGAGGCCAAATGGCCTAAATTTAAATTGGCTTCAGTGGAACTTTTTAGGATGGGGCTTTTAATAAGTGAGGATCTTCTGATGGATGGGCTGTTTGTTATTCTACATGTTTTGCCCATTGAATGTGATACAAAAAATTGCATGTCTAGCCTTAAACAAAGGTGTGTGTTGAACATTTTGCTGTCAGCTACTTTAAGACTCAATGTGATAAACTCATTATCCTAGGTCTGTATTATCTGCTTGCCTATTTATCTGTCTCTTTTAGTTCCTGAGGGTATGATGAGTTTGTGTTAATTTATGGTTAGAAGATACTTCTGTAGGTTCAGGGGAAGGTTAGAATAGAAAAGCAGGGGCTTAGATAACAAAAAAAGTGCTTGCTGTGTGCAGGAACCTTAAAAGTGTTGATGTTTTCCAGGTAATTGTGAAAACAAGAACAGAGTATCAGCCTGACCAGAAGAACAAAGGAAAACTCAGAGTGCCCAAAATTGCTGAATTCACAGTCAGTTTCACTGATGGTGTAACAGAAAGACTAAAGGTAAGAAATGGTTATTTTGGTGCCTTCTGATGCAAATGCCATTCATTTTAAAGTAACTGAATCAAAGTGATGGTAAAGACACACCAAATTTAACGCTCCAGTCATCACTAAGGTCAAAGAGATATTTATCTGCATGAGTATGAAGCTCTTTTATGTTACTTGGTTTTTGTTTTGAACAGATACAAAAATACATTCATAACAAGATATACAGCAGGAAATGATTTTCTTCTCCCAGGAAAAGTTATGAAAATGTTTTCCAGCCCAAAATGGAAGTGAAAAAAGTTTGAATCTCTTTTTTTCCTCTCAAACATTTGTGTTTAAAAAGAAAAAAAAAAAAAGCAGTGAAAATTGATGGAAACAGTTTGTCGTCTTTCACATCTTTCAAAAATTCTTTTTTTTTTGTGTAGTCAAGCAACCTTTTTAATATTTAAAATATTTTATTGTTATATAATTATTTTATTATAGATGAAAAGTCATTTCAAACTGGATAAAAGAAGATATATTAGAACGTGTCCAAGCATATCCTGTTCTGTAAGCAGTTTTGGTTCACAGGAATTGAAATTTTCTGATGAAAAGTGGTTCCTTGAGAAATTTTCAACAGGCTCTACTGAAACATGGAAAGAAACTCATGAATTATTGAGTGCTCTCAGTTCCTGTTGACTGCAGCAAATTAGAATGGCTCAGTTCCTCCTAAAATTAGACTCCAAACATGTAGCAGCTAGTATTTTCTCCCTTTTCATTGAAAAGATGATACTTTCACTAAACCACAGAGCATGTAAGTTGAAAAAATACAAGATCTGATTTCACATTTCCAAAGTCAGAGGGAATATCAATGATGTAAGTAGAAAAAGTAGAGACTAGGCAGCGCCTAATTAATAGCCCTGCTACTTGAAAAGCTGGGATTAGGTTTATAAATTTTTACAGAAGGGTATCATCCTCAAGAATTACCAGGAATTGACCCAAGTAACTGAATAATTGACTCAAGTAACTTCAATTTGGCCCAGTTGTTCTTAATCTTGCAAGACATAGAAAAGTTTATCATAATTAGTTTCTGACAACTTAGAAGAAAACTTGTACTTTGTAATGTGATCCAGGAAAAAATGTTATAATTCTTTCTTTCTTGGAAGATGAGTCTTTAAGACCCAAATCTTCAGGACCCAAACTTCAGGATGAGTCTTGTTCAACTTATTGAAAGGAGAAATTTTCAGCTACTCTTTTCTGAAATACTACAGAATGGTACTGTTTCTGTTTTTTCCAGAAACTCGTTAATATATTTCACAAAGACAATTCTGTTGCTTTCAACCAGGATATTTAAAGCCATGATTTATTCTTAAGATGTCTGTAAATAAATGTTTGTAGCTTTTTTTTCTTTCTTTTTTTTTTTTTAAATGCGGATCATGTATGTTGATCTAAATTACTTAGCAGGAGCTTACATGATGCTGATTTTGTTTTAAATTCTTCCCTGATCTTATTGCATGCATAGTACCTATTTACCATCAATAGTGACGTTTCATTGGTACCACTAGTAAAGTAAACAGCTAATTAGCCAAATTTAAATCCCTGGCTTGGAAACCACAACAGACATTTTCTAGTACGAACAACGTACAAATCAGAGCCAGACACAATGTGCCTGAGAAACAACAGTAAAATGTAGAGTCTCCAGGAAGTGATGTGTTGGGTTGTGACCCACAGTAAATGACATTATTACATTATTGTTGATATTGCAAATGACAGTGCATCACTGGGTATTTAAAAGTTCTAGCCCTGTAATCTCATCCTTACACACTGTGTACTCTGGAGGCACAGAAGTTAGAGACGTAGCTCATCAACTGCAAAGGATAAATTTCCTTTAATCATCTCCTTCTATGTTTCTTATTTTTCCCATTCTTCAATTCCCCTTCCCTCCCCAACTTGCTCTTGCATTCAAACTCCTCTTTTTGATATATTTTTCCTTCTTCCCCTCCTATTTTCTGTACTGTTCTGCCATTGTTTTTGTCCATGTGAGGACTGACACAGCAGCAGTCACAGGGGAGCGGGGGGCTCCAACAGCATGCACTGCACTGGCACAGATTTGGAGGTTTAAGCACTGCCATCCCCTTTGCTGCATGGTAGGGATGGCTGTGGGAGCTGTGCCTCTTCTAACACAGCCTGGCAGCATGACAGTTTCGTTTTTAAGCTATTTCCTTTCCCTAAAGTCCATATGATTTTCATTCTGTGCTCTTCAATGTCAACTTATTAATCACTCAGCCTCTAGCCTAATGCTGGATAAGATGATAAGCCTCTCCCTGCCTGCTTTTCATAAGGCTTCCATGTATCGTATTAAGTTTGTAGTATTATTTCCTGACAAAAATGAGCTGAGATAATAGGTAATATTTCATTACCTTTTGTACTTTTTTTTTTATTGCACCATGTTTTTATACCAGCGCATATTTTTAGTGAAATTATTAAAAATACTGCCCTCTGGTTATAAGCAGGGCTGTTATCTGGTACTGATGAAATCATTATACATTTGTTTTTTGTAAGAGGAAATCACAGTAAATACTTAACTTTTATTATCTCAGTTTTGATACAATTTTACAAGCTTAAAAAATAATATAAATGAGATCATCGTATTTTCTGTTGCTGGCTTGTTGCTTTGTATAGCTTTCCAGTATATGGTGTGTTGGAAATATCATCCACACTTTCTTGCTAATGCTCTGATTAAAGTGTTCATCTATACTTGAGCCAGGCTATTAGCTTAGTGCACTCCAAATATGTGAGTTCTGTATCCAGTAATGTGTATGGGCATGAATGTTATTCTGCAGAATGTACAGCTAGTGTTAGTCCACAGTAATGCTTAAATTCAAAGGTTCGGATAGGGAACCATTTTGATACTACAGTTCTACTAACCTGTGTATGAGGAGTGAGTGTCTCAGCAGCTGGTATCTGTATGCTGGGGAAACAAATACAACAGAGAGAAGAAATAGCCAAGAAATCCTCTTCTATCTGCCATTACACTACTTTGGCATCTTGGAGAATACAAAGTGAGATGTCTTGTAGTTTATTTTTTCACCCAAAGGGTAAAATTGTCATCAGTTCAAACAAAAGTATGGTAAAGCAAATCTCTGTCATTAAAAAGTGTGTGTAGCAAAATGCTGCTGGGACTCCATATTTACAACTGTGCTGCCCACCCACCAGTATCTCTCTGGAGCAATTCTTAACATCTTTCCCGTTTCAATCTATGAAGTACGTTTTTTTTTTTTTTCCACTCTTCTGGTCACTTGATATGGGAACATACCCAAGGTAGAAGGAAAAACTTTTCCCAAGTTCTTTTTCTGTGCGCTGTAGCTGCATCCCAAAGAAGAGCTAGATCTCTTTGGAAAGCAGGGGACCTTACGAACATGGCAGTCAAATCCACAGATGCCCTTTATTCTGCCTTTTGGATATCTTTTATTGAAGAGGCTAATAAATTATTAGACAACTTTCTAGCATGAGCAAGCCAAAGCCAGAATCTAAGCTTATGCATGCATATTTTTCATCCATCCAGAACAGTACAGATCTGAGCTCTTTAATTATTGTAAAGAAGAGACTGTCCCTAGGCAACGGTTCTTATTTCACACTACCTCTTCCAAGAATTTTAGATAGCTTCTGCAACTTGTCACATCTCCTAATAGATGAGCGTATGATTCTCTATAGCTCAGCACACAGTGTCCTGGAAGTTTGACCAATTAGGCTTATTCTTCAGCTGGATGAGTCACCCCATACATACTTTATAACAAATGTTTAAATAGTTGTGTGTAGATGGGTTACAAGAAAGTGATGTTAAAATAGCGTTGTGGTTGAGCCATCCATATATAAAAGACATTTCTTTTATCGTTTGACTCCTCCACAGAGAAGCAATGACAACAGCTTTTCTAAGCTGACTGGCAGTGATTTGTGGATGTTGCCTCCTCCAGACTGTTTATACTTTTGGAGTGTGTCCCACTAGGAAGTTTTTGAACTGCAAAGATCTTATTTTGCAGTAATGATGTATACCAAGGTTTCTCAGTCCGAAGGGGAATAGTTTCTGGTGTTTGCTTTCCATTTTGCATGTTTTCAAGGTAGTGCATCTTGCCATGCTTTACTGTCCAGTAGTGACACCAAGGTGGACTAGAAAGGATCTGAAAATATGATGACTCCCTTATGTTCGTTTGTGGAACAGTGCATCTAGGTCTATGCAGTTGAGGTAGGTCTTACTGCTTCTTTTTGCCAATGATACCCTACGTTACAGTTTTGAGAACAATCTCTCATGCAAGTAACATTATTTCAGTGAGTTTCAGCCCTTATTTCTTTTTATCGGTGTTGAAATGAGATTAAATGCACCTTTGGTTTTGAAGCAGATCATCCATTGAATCAGAAGTCTTGTTACTTCTGGAGGACAAGGTTTCCAGTCACTCCCTTTGTCTTCCAACTGGTCAGGATAACACAGAAACCAGTCAGAAGCACTGAGGTGAGGGGTGGGTTTCTACCCATTTCCTTGACTGTCACTTAGGTGGTGTTTGGCTTCAAGCCATCAACATCCTGCTTTAGAGGATGTTGATGAAAAGGTTTCTCTTTTCTAGAGAAACAAGCTGGAGAATGGTTGCTGGTGGATTTTTGCACTTGACCTAGTCAGACCTCCGGAGTGTCAGTAGGCCTGTGCTAGCCCTGGGTTTGCCCAGATGTATCTGTCTCCTAGTAGCACCAAGGTCTGGGCTCGAGGGGCCTTTCAGCACGGGGTTATTAGAGCTTACAACACAGAGAATTGGGCTGACACATGCAACTGCTTGCCAGCTGCTTGTTTGTGCAAATGACACTTGTGAAGTTCGTGTGTAACCAGTTTGACCTCTGTTATTGCTAAATGCCACAGAGTTATCCTGTACAGCCCTTTCAGGGAGGCAATGCTTTAATGACCATTAGCTTGGTGATAGTTACCTGCCATAGTTTTATGACTTATCAAGTCTTCAACAGGTCTTTCCTTTTTATGGATTTTTTAATTTTTT